CTGTCCAAAATGTAGCTAAATCCAGTGGAGTGGTTTGGTTTAAACTAGCTTAAAACCAACAATAGTCTTAAAAATTATATACTTTAAAATAAAATAATTAAACATACTAATCAAAAATGGGGCGGTTTCTCAAATTTCAAGTAAACGAGTCCATACTCGCGTTCAGACTTTGCAAGTCCAGACTTCCTGAGAATGCCAGATTTTACTGCCATTCCCTTTTATTTTAACTGTGATTAATATTTGCAATTGGAATTACACATGATGTGGATTTTTTTAAGGTAACTTTAAAAAGCACTTTGGCCAAAATTCGCTTTTACATATCATGTTTCATAATGTCTAATAAACTTCATACAGTTAAGCACAATGACTCAGTACATGGCAGAAACACAAGCTTAATCTCTCTCTCAATAAAAATAGTACACATGTATGCCTGAATAACAACAAACAGGTGAGACGTTAGAACGCTTTTGTTTTTATTTTAGTAGACACACAAAACTGACAATAGATGGCTGGATTTTGGAAGAGAATTGAACAAATATTTAACATATAATCTGATCATTTTTGTAGCAGCCTTCAGGATTTCCATGTATTAACATGCTGTTATTGCTCCCGGTGAAATGTTTCCTCCTCAATTTAAATATTTTTATGTTAGATTTAATTCAGAGTCAGCTGTTTAAATAAGAACAGAAGATTTTACATCAGGGAATATGACGGGTGAAATTCAAAATAGACTGACAGCTCTCCAAGTAAGACTTCAGTATTAAATAAAACGGTCCAGTTATAAAGCTGAACTTTAATTTCAGCTAAACCAATTTGCTCAGGAACAAATCAAACACTGAAATAAACCAAACATGAACATTTAGAAGTTATCTAAGTGACTTATATATCATGTTTAACTCGAGTAGCGAAAGACTGAGAGGGAAAGGAAAAATGATGAAAATGATGCGCTGGGATTCTGTGCCTTGACCACCCAGTCAGCTGGTGGGTAAAAGCCATCTCGAAAAACGTCAGAGCACTTTTGCAAATATGTGATGTCTTGATAAATCAAGCAGATAGTTGAAGTTTACACAGCAAAATTCTAACCTGAAAGTATCTTAAAAGTGCCAGGGCTCAATGGCCCGTGAAAAAGGAAGGGACTCAAGCACAGAACCAAAAACCGGAGGCTGAGTGACGGGCGATGGAAACTATAGCAGACCAGGAACACTGGAACAAAGGAGATAATTATCAGAGTGGTCCGCTGCGTTGTAAATTAATCTAAGATAAGAGGTTGGTTGCAGGTGGAGATTAGCTGGAGGAGGAGGTGAACTAGATGAAGGTGAGTACAGAGTGCGATGTGGGTGTGCAGGGAGGCAGGCAGGTGAGGATGGCAGTTTGTGAGTGAGTTTTACCAGCAGCAGCAGACCAGAATCCTGAAACGTGACTATGGCGAGAGTTGGAAAATATATCCAGGTGCCAACTAGCAAGCAGAAAAAAAAGGGTTAAGCAAAACACGCTGAGGAACTCAAGACAAAATGTGAGGCAGAGAACTGACTATGGCAAGCAGACAATCTGGCGAAGGTTCATTGTGAGTGCTTGTCATAAATACTGCTGGAGTAATTGCCAACAGGTGAGGAGCAGTGAGGAGCAATGAGAGCTCCACCCAGGGGAGGAGAGCCGATGCTGTGGAAAATTACTCAGACTCACCCAAAACATGACAAGAAGTTTATTTTGTGATCCAGAAGAAGTAATATTTCAAACTTTTTAGCCGCGTTCCTCCGCCATTGCCTCGTTTGAGTTTTGGACAAAATGCATTCTGGGATATTTGCCTAGCTACAGTAGCTAGCGAGCTGATTGGAGACCAAAACAGCCAATATAATTTTTTTGTCCTAGTGTTTCTCTTTAAGAAAACACTTATTTTTAAAATTGCCAGCTGTGCCGTGAGTGAGCTGAAGCTCTTTCTCTCAGATGAGGAATGGGCCATGGTGTTGAAGAATTTTAAAGTCCCAAAGCAAATATAGCTAAGAACATTGTTTTTTACACCCTTATCAATTAATTTTATTTGATGGAATAACTCATGCAATTACTGAAGTGGCTCTTGCATACATACACCAAGAAAACTGTATGCATTATATCTACACTTTACATAAAGACATCTAAACATAAATAGATGTGTTTCTGTTTCTTTTCTGTCTTCTTCTCTCTGTTTTCACCTAACACTCTACTAACTACCTGATAAAACTACACCTTGAGTTTCATATCACTCCTTGTACACAGTTAGTTATATTTGACACCCTTCACAAACATAATGTCCTTGTTCATTCCTAAACTCCTCAACACAGAATTCACAGCATGTACGATGTTGAAACTTATTCAACTGTTAAAACACAGCTTTGACTTAAACTTTCAATTTGATTCATTTGTTCATTTAAACAA